TTATCGCGATGGTGGGCAGAGCTTCTCAGCTTGGTACACCATGTAGCCCACCATAATAAGCACCACGCACCATATGCTTAGGGCTTCCCAGCATTATTGCAATGGTGGGCAGAGTGTCCCATTATTGCCCACTATCTAGCCTCTGCTTTCCAGCGTCACCTCCACTTTACCCATCATCTGTACACCATACCACCCAGTATGTCCCGGCATAACCACCATATTTTCCACTACGTCCCACCATAGCCATCATAATTTCCACCATGCCCACTATTATTTCCACTATGCCCACCATGTTCTCCAGTATCCACCATGTCAATTTTTCCGATAGGGTACAGGAGGACAAAATCACCATCTGACCTATCTACAGCACGCCAAGCACAACGACATGTATTGCCACACCTCGATAAGCTCGATAGGCAATGGTGGAGGGTATTTTGTAGCTCTCTTGATCCCAGAAAACCCCTGTCTCGAATATGGCAAACTGTCCGAAGCCTTCAGACGCCCACTCAACAGTTGTTCCCTTTCCGATCTTTGGCTCTAAAGCAAGGTCGACCTGAAGTAGAGGTTGCAGAAGATTACTGCCACTTACTCGTAGGTATGTCCTCCTCATCGATATCACCTTCGTATTTAACCTCACCGCCATCCAGCGACGATCGCCTCGACTTACCTTTCACAATGCACGGACTTGACGCTGCGATTTCCACGTCCCGACGGTCGTCCGCACCAGGGCCTGACGGAATTACTTATTCGGCTCTATATCACCTCAGCAAGGAAGCAAGGCAGGCTCTCTTGTCGTTCTACAACTCTGCGTGGGAAACAGGGACAGTCCCAGAGAGTTGGAAGTGCAGCCGCATAGTGGCCTTACTGAAACCAGGCAAGTGTTCACACGAGTTGTCTTCTTATAGACCCATTGCCCTAGCCAGTTGCATTGGTAAGGTGATGGAACGCATGGTGCTGGCAAGATTGGAATGGCTGCTGGAGAATAATGTCGGCTTACCAGATTTTATAAATAGCTTCCGTAGAGGTCGATCATTTAAAGACGGTGTTGTAGATCTAGTTTCTTCAGTTGAAAAGGAAAGACAACGTCGGGGATTGGTAGGGGCCATTTTCTTAGATATAAAGGGTGGGTACGATAGCGTCTACTATGAGGCCATTCTTGGCGCACTTGAAGACATCGGCGTAGGTGGTCGACTACACGCATGGATAGGGAGCTATCTCAGAGGACGTACCATTTTTATGTCGACATCCGACGGTGACACGGCGAGGCACCTCGTAAGCCGTGGAGTTCCGCAAGGCGCCGTCCTGAGCCCCATGCTTTTTAACATAGCACTCATTGGCCTTGAAGCTGAGCTTCCCGACGTTATCAGAATCAGTGCGTATGCGGACGAAATATGACATATGGGCATCTGGAGCAAGGCGACCACAACTGCGGGCAAGGCTACAACAAGGCACATCAATAACATCTAAGTACTTACGTCGTCAGGGCCTGGAACTTTCAATAGCAAAATGTGCTGCATTGGCATTTACGAAGAAATCAATGTCGCGGTACCCAATCTTTGCTCACGGAGCAGTGATTCCCGTGGTTAAGCACCACCGCTATTTAGGGGTCGTCATTCATCGCAACCTGTCCTGGTCAAAGCATGTGACTGTGCTGAGAAACAAACTAATCAGTTTTGTATATGTTCTTCGTGTTATAGCAGGACTGAGATGGGGCCCTTCGGAGAAAAGTCTTCTGCAGTTATACAAGGCATTGTTTGTGGGCTATATAAGGTACAGCTCACCTGTGCTTTCCAGCACGCGGGAAACGTGCCATCATACTTTAGAGAGCCTTCAGGCACGAGCCATGAGAAAATATTCTTGGCCTGCCATGGTGCACGTCCACCTCTGGCACTATACAGGAGTCACGCACCTACCCTATACAGGTTTACACGTCCTGCAAGCCTCTCCGAATGCACCTTCTTCTGCTGACCCGACATGCAAAGCACCCGTTGTCTTCGCTACAAAAGGACCAACCAGGCTACACCTATTCGCGATGCCTCGATACGCATAGGCACATGATCCCTTCAGGCTTTGCACCTGCCGTAATCCCTGCAGTGCCTCCATGGACATTGACTAAACCGCTGGTGCGCCTTCACATACGTGGAATTTCATATAAGTCGCTGTTTCTTATATTGCCCTCAAGCAACTCACCTTGGCACTTTTAGATGACCGATACAGCGACTCTCTGCACATTTACACCGATAGATCCGTAACTTCATCCGCCTCAGTTGCAGCCTTCGTGATCCCTCAACTCAGTATTTCCCGACAATACAAAGTAGATCATAGGTCATCTTCGATAGCTGCAGAACTTGTTGCTATACAAGAAGCCATAAAAATTGTGAACGACCAAGCACTGCGTAAATGGACGATTCTGTCTGATTCAAAATCAGTGCTTCAAGCTATTCATTCTTGCTCAAGAAGAGGCCAATTTTACGAGTTAACGTTAGGAATCGTGCAAGCATTTGACCTAAAACACAGGAGCGGTCACTTAATTACACTCCAATGGATTCCTGGACACTGCGGCCTAGTTGGCAACGAAACAGCCGATAGCGAAGCAAGAGCGGCAATATACAACGCTCCTATGTACGTCAAAGTACCGTACTCGCGAGGTGACGTCAACACATTGTTGAGATCACTCATGCGCGAATGCGCTGCCACTTACTGGTCGCTACCAGATCACCGGAACAAACGCCTGCGGGAAACAGACCCCGGTATGACTTTTCATCTTCCAGATAAAATCAGCCGAAGACATGCTAATATACTGCACCGAATTCACCTGGGCGTCGCCTTCACTCGCCACTACACCCACCTAATCGGCCGTGCAGACAGCCCGAATTGTGAACGCTGCCAAGTGCGCGAAACGAAAGCTCACATATTTTGTGACTGTGTATTATACGTGGCGCAAAGAAAAATGCTAACTGCAACGTTGGCAAGCATTGGACGAACACCATTAAGTGAAAGCCACATATTGTCAGCAATGAACGACCAAACAGTGTCAAAAACTGCTACAAAGGCTGTTCTAGACTTCATAAAAAGCACTGGACTAGAAACTAGACTGTAGGGTATTATGCTAAGTGGCTACTGTACATAGGCACCACCTCTTCTTGTCCCTTACATCACCCCTCATCTCTCTTTCCTTCCCCTTTCCCTTATCCCCTGTGTAGCGTAGCAGGCTAGAGCGAACTAGCTCAGGCCGACCTCTCTGCCTTCTAATGAATTCTCACTCACTTGACCTTGATAGAAATTGCCCAAAACTTAGGTAGAACTTAGGCAGTTTAGTACATCATTGCCAGTTCAACGAATTTTTTTCTCTTAACCTGCAAAGCTCCCCCCCCCCCACCCTTAATTGGCTGTGGAACTACCAACTTTGTCAGCTCCATTGACTTGACCCTCAATTTCTTGTTACCGAATCTGACTAACACATCCAGGTCTGCCCGCGCAAAAGTACCTGTCAAGGCCGACAGAATGACCACCACCTCTGTAGGTCAATTGGGAGAGCATCAGACGCGTGATTAAAAGGTCACATGATCGGTATCTACAGGGGTAACTTGTATTTTTGCCCAGTTCTTTATTTTTTCACAATTATAATATACTTATAGCAGCAAGCACAGGACCGAGATGACTGGCGGTACGTGGGAGAGGCCTTTCTTCTGCAGTGGACGTAGTCGGACTGATGATGATGATGATGATGATACTATAATTGCTGCTAAAAGTTGCAATGCTACAAATAACGTGTCCTCTACCTTCCTTGTCTTTACTGTTTCTTTTCGTTATAACTGTATCAAAAAAAAAAAAAACGAGTGCTTAAAAACGGCACCGCGTTCATTTGCAGCAACGGTCTCATTCTCTCAGACCTATAACCTTTTGGCAGTCTGCAAGGGCTTATCGGTCGGGTGTGCATTCGCTAAAGAAGACGTATACAAATAGCTTGCCCGTGACGTCACCATCGCAGCTCCATAAAGTACTGCATCAACAACAAGGTGGGCTTGATTGTACAGACAGCATATTCTACAGCATATGATTGAGCTGCTTTAGTATGATAACGATGTGGGCAGAATTTTTATTGGCCTTTATCTGTTAATAACAAAAGAACATAAAATTATATAGTAATAACAATACCGCTAGTGCCTTAAACCTTGCGTGTGTCATGTGGTTCACCAACAGGGTGGTTTCAATGACGTCAGTGCAAGCCATTTATTGCGTTTCACGCGACACCAGCAGAGAGAGAAAGTGTTCCGAACTTGTCGTCAAGGCTAAAAATGCCGCTGACTGTCAATCCCGGCATTGTATGCACAGAACTACTCGACAAAGTGGACCAGAGAACAATCACTGCCGTAGCACGGTTGCTACAGCATCGGCCGCGTAATCCAAACGTCGTAGGTTCGGTTCCTGCCGCTGGCAATTGTTGTCTTTTTATGCACTTTCCTTTCCTGCCATTTGTAATATAACTACCAAAACCGAATGACAATAGCACAAACTAAGCCATCTACGCTTACTTAGTGTCACAATTCTTATTATTCATTAGGTTCATGCCTCGCGAATTCTCACTCTCTCAAAAATATAATGTGCTAGTGGAACAGCTACGAACAGTGAAAACCCAACAGTGCGTACAAAAAATAAGCAACTGAAAAGGCTGCTCGCGAGCCGTCAGGGCAGGGCGAAATACATCAAGAGCATGGCAAGGGTGAAGGACTCCCGCAGCTGTTACTGTTTTGCGTATGAGAAAACACATTCGCTCAACTGGCATAGCTTATTATCTCCACTACTTGGGTTATTCATTCTGCTTCGAAAGGTCGATGTTTTGGCAGGCAAAAAAAAGAATGCATACAAATTTAGATCGAGTCTCATCCGGCTAGATGGGTTCACCACTGAACTGCAAGAATGTTCAAACAGAATATTCAAACAGAATGCGCCAGTGCTGCATTACTTCGTATATTAGTAAGCTGCAGCTGTGTTCTTCTGAAAAAACTAGTCGCACGTGCCGGCACGGATTCTGTAGCTGCCTGTTCGACTTCGCGGATCACAGAAATATACGAGAATGAAGGACACGGTCGGTCCGTGCAGGGCGATCGTGGAGAGTAACAGCGACGCACAATCAGTTTCTGATATTGCAAAAACGAGTGAAAAAGGTGAGGCAATTATTCATGTACCATATATATAAAATAACGTTTGGATATTTAACGAATAAACACTTAAATCACTGCGCATAACTTCTCAAAGGTTGGTTTCTCCGCCCCATTAAGATTGTCTGAAACATGCGCGACGACAAATAGCAATTCAGGGAAGCCCTGTACAACGAAGCACAGAACGCTCTACTCGCCATGCCCTTGCGATGTGGCTTACAGTATTGCTCATACATGAGAACGCCAGTTTGTATATTAGACCGAAACTTGCTTTTGCCAGCGCGTGAATGAACACAATTTGAATGTGTTTAACAAAATTGAGAGCTTTTTAGCAGAGCAGTGCATACAGTGCGGACATGTTCACTTTGTTTGGAACACCCAATTTCCAAAAAAAGAAGGGAGGGGGTATTGCGACGCACAACACCAAGACGCCATAGCGTTTTATTATGAGGGAAGCAGCAGACAATAGAATCAAGAAGCCATTTATTTCATTCACTCACGCTTAGATTCAACACTTCCAAGGTTTGAATGGTTGGTTAATTCCTCAACATTTTGGCACAGCCCACTCCAGGTAATAGGCCATGAAACGTGCGGTGCCTTGCTTAGTAAAATAATTCAGTTGCAGAGTGAACGGGTGGAAAGTGAATTGTTTAGTCATTACAAATAAATAAATTAAACTCGTAAAAGTATAAAAAATTGAGTAATCAAACCAATATGCCAAAAATAAATTGATACGTCTGGAACTATGGCAACTGAATTAAGATGCGCCTACCAGTCAATTCATTTAGACTCTAGTAAAAAGTTATATACAGCGTTGAAAATACTCCTGTGGCTAAAATCTAATATGGCTACACCAAATGAAAAAAAATCATCGCAAGGGACAAATTTTTTTATTGCTCTTCTTTTACCGTGCTTGTTGTTAGTAATTTTTTTCATCTATTATCTCACAGGAATTGTTATTTCACCGACACTGCCTGTTTTTGTCTGCTTGCTGGCTTTGCTCGTTCAATTTCATGAATATTGGCTTGTCGAATTTTTATTGCTGCTTGTAAATACTTTCATGTTGGTCGGTGTCTGTTTTCTTTACTTTGCTTTTTACATTATGGTACAAGTTTCCTACGCGAGCGTCAAGGAAGTAGACATTTTATCTCTTCGTGAAAACTACGCTTCACTCTGCATGGACGCTTTCTAACGTGGCAGGTTTGACTGTAAAGGCAGTGAGTTATTGCACGCTATAAAAGAAAGTGGTTCTAGCAATAAAGTTTAATAGTATGCTGAGAGAGTTGACTGAGTTTGTTTTCTCTTTTTTTGTGCTTCCGAACAGCAAGTACTTTCTTACATACGTGCGTCTTATAGCAAACCTCGAGTGATACAGTTTGATAAGATAGACTAGTGAATGTGAGGTTTCTTCAAAACTGCTTTCGAAAGTCAATGCGACCCGAAAAAGATGTCGGAATGAAAAAGTAGAAATTAGGTGCCAATAAAGGTTACCCGCCTATAAAATTATGAATGATATCTGGGGTTTAACGTTCAAAAACCACCACATGATAGAGACGCCTAAGTGGAGAGCTCCGGAAATTTTGACTACGAATGGTTCTTTAAAGTGCACCAAAATATGGACACATGCACCTGCAGTAATTTCGCCTGCACCAAAAATGCAGCCGCCGCAGCCGAGATTTGATCCCGCCGCCTGCGTGTTAGCAGACGAGTACTTTAGCCCCCAGATCACCTTGGCGGGGCTGGCTCTAAAATAGGCTCTAAAAATTCTCACACCGTTTTTTTTAAATCACAAGCCAAACTGCGACCCCTAAAGTAACTACGAGCTCTTCATTTGAAGTTTTCATAGACATTGAGCGAGATTTGAAGCATAAGAAACAGGAATATGAAAAAAAAGTCGCGGAAAGAAAGGAGATCGTGATTGCACTTGGGTTGCAAACATGCAACCAGCACCAGCGCTAGTACCTGGACGCCCTAGGAAGAAGGTTCCTTTCAAGCCCGGGCGGCATCCTCGCCTAATAAAACTACTCGCGTTAGGTGAGGACATGTCACTTTGGGTTCGTTTTGGGGTCTTGGAGAGAACATATATTGTGTGTACTGTGGCGTGATTTTTTGTTCTAGAGGTCACGTGACTTTATTGTGCTTCTTACGTGATGTTCCGATCTTTCCCTTTTCCATCTTTTTCTATGTCTCTTTGCGCTAAGTATTTTATGGTAACAGTAAGAATGAAACGCATTTCGGTGTTTTGCACTAACCTCGTTGCTCTGTGTTATTCCGCTTTTTCAAACACCTATTTCGTATGATTGTATGTGTGATATAATAAATTACGTTACTATACGTCTAATTTGCATCACATCTGCTGGCCGCTGCTGTGCGCACGCTAATTGTGCTAAAACTGTGCATGATTCATATGTATTGGGATTGGCGCTCTGCCCTTGTCAGCCAAAGCAGGTGACTACTGGGATCAATGGTATTATAATAGTTTCTTCGGCACTATAGATATGACCACTGGAGCGTCTATACATTTGCATAGCTATATAGAAATAAAAATAAGCATAAAGACACAGAGAGCAAAAGGGACACCTAGAGCTGTCACGGAATCTTAGTGTTCCTGCTTTTTTTCAACTGTCATCGTTATTTTTGTTTTTCTTGACTTGCCTAATGCCTAGATCTGCATTCGTATTGCAACAATTCCAGCAACCTGCTCCAGGCCCACACTACAACCTGCAGCTACAGCGAGCCGTCACGTTCACGCAGCTTTTCACCAGGTACTTCATGCGACACGACAGTGACCTATCCGCTTTCCTGCCTGTCAGTATGATCATATACTCAAGGTTCTTATGCAATATTTTGAGCTCGCAGAGAAGAATAGCCGGCTGTAGGGGCCACCCTATTGTTCTTTTTCTTCTTGATCTTATCCACATCTCCTGATACTATCCTCTCTTATTGTCTTTTGTTTTTATAAATGCTCAAACTACTGCCTTTCTTGCCAAGAGCACTCATTGTACGCCTAAGATTCGTTCATGACTGTAATGGGTGGGACACCCGATCAACCTCCACCACTTTCTGACCTCTTGTATTTTATTTCAATGGGAGCTTGTCGCTTCGCAGATTCCCTGGCATCATCAATATCGGGATGGAACTCGAAGCAGCACAAGTTTTCACACTGTGGTGCTATGTGAAGCTGCAGAAGAAATGAAAGTGACTTAATGAGAGACCGGGCGGTGCACACTATTTCAAGGATAGTTTGAAGCATACCTTCGATCCATCATGACAGTGCCTACAGATCGGTGATATTGCGACACTGATATACACTAGTGATATCAGTGTCGCCTGTTAACTTTTTCTACAGATGCGAAATTTCTAGTTCAGAAATTTCCGCCTGCTCACTCTAGTTTCTGGAAAAAAATGTACTTTTTCCCCCATCCACCAAAGCTTTGAGGACTTTTTTTCAAGCGCGGGAATAAGCCAGTAAAGTTTATAGAAATTGAAAAAAAATCAATATTACTTAATACACGGGAGTAAAGCCTATAACCTCTCGGTTCACGGCACCAAACTCTCTTATTAACTTTCGTGGACGTCCACGGCCGCGAACGTCGAGAAACAAGGTGCCTTGCGAACTGCGCTAGAGAAGCTGACGCATGGGACTGTACATACGTGCCTTGTATCTTAACACCTTTTCTCTTTCCCAGTGACCTTCTTGAGGCAGTGCGGACAACCGTATTGGAGAGGTTAAGTGAAGTGCTGCATCATGGCAATAATGGGGGCTGACAGGACACGCTTCGGTAGTTTCAGTACATGAGCTCCTCGATGTTAGAATTTATTCGTTCAACGCTCGCTTCGAGGCACGCTACCTCGCTACGTTGAGACTGGCTCCCGATTTCCGCTCTATGTTGTTTCAGTACACATTTAGTGAGTGCTTCGAGGACTTACATGTCATAGCCGGTGGCGGGACACCTTCACGCATTTATGGTTCAGGGTACGAGCACGGTCTCTCGTATTTCTGAAGCACTGTCAGGAAGTGTGCGCATGACGAATCCTTTAAACGGGTAACCTACCATTGAAAGGATACGGCACACCTATCCGTTTCCCTCCTCACATAAACACGCTTTCCACGAGCCCATTTAGAATACTAGTGTTTATTATGTGCCTGTAGGTGCCATCTTTCCGCCGCAGTCCCTGCGCACTCCATATGGGTTAAAGTTAACTACTTCAGCTGCCAGAAAGGTTTTTACTTTATAATTGATGTCGATCATTGCTATTGAAGTGTTCTACGAAGTTTGAACGTAAGTGGATTCACATCAAACGCATCAAACGATACGATATGTACAAGAAAAAACAGCAACCATAGCAAGCCATCATGCATCAGTGTACAATGAAGATTGAACTATTTTTGTCAAGACGCGTTTAGCTTTCCTAATATAACAATTCGTACTGGTAAAGGAATAAAACATGCTTTTTTTGTTTACGACTCTTCACTGCCAGGATGGGATTCCCAACTATGCTGGTACGAAAGAATCATGCTTTGGGTGCTACGACAAGGAACCATACCTCAGCACTTCGCCATCGTCGCGGATGGTAACCGGCGTTTTTCTCGGAAAAAGAAAATATCCCTGAGCCAAGTCTACTCTCTTATGTTTAGGAAGTTCACTACGGTAAGAGGTCTTACGCTCGGCCGAATAAAATGGTGTGCCCATTTCAGTATGTTCGAGTTTAGCACCATATTTGCAACTGTTCAACCAGTAGTTCATGCTCATAATCGCTTATGGATGCACTTTGACCCAGCAAAATAAGCGTACAGAAGCGCCTTCCAACGTAATCTCATAAGTCACAGTATTGGTTGCTGACTGATGTTGAAAACAATCATTCGTACATTTAAATGAGTGCCCTCACTGTGGAGGAACGTGCGATTTAGAGCACATGCTTTGGCGTCGCTCTCGTTACGTTTGGACAAAGAGCTCACGGAGCAGGAATGCAGCTCGGCTCTCAAGGGCTCGGAATATCAGCATAAACTTTGGCCTGTCTAGAGAGCCTGCGATATGGCAGTTAGGTCAAGTTTAACTGTCCCTGCGTAGGAACGGTCCGTGGTGTCGCCGTAATAGGTGGCACTTCTCCATATCCTCCATATCTTTAAATAAAATTATTCGTTCTCTCCTATCTTTCAACACATCTTCTTGCCACAAAGTCGGTCATTATTATTCTACTCACTTGCTTGATGTAAAACCACTCGGAGAGAGTCTATAAAACGACTGTACCTGCTTCGAAATTGAAATGGCGTGCTTATACAGGGTGATAATCAAGTATGGTTGCTTGCTGGGCTAGTTAGTTCATTTTAATGTATGGATCAGCGCATGGAACTAGAAAAGAAAACACGGACAGAAAGAGCGCTGACTTCGAAAAGTTTTATTTCTCTGATGATACCAGACAGAAATACAGCTTACTTAGCTTTGCAAATCTGAGTTTGGTGAAAGCGGCATTGTTTATTGTGACAAATACCAGAGCTCCAAAGAAATAGTATAGGCGGTAGATCGAGATTGCTCGCTTGGGAGTGGAATGTGTCAGCATGCCATCGCTTGCATTGGCTAATGAGGAGTTTTAGTTTTTAGAAAATTAGTGATTAAGACTGCTTTATGTCAGCCAGTGCTTTCATTGCCGATAGAAATTTCTTTTGGCTATCATTCTTATCTTACTCGCTGTCTCTGCGCATGTATTTGTGCCTGGTATCGTCAGTGCAATAAAGACAGTCGGCGCTTTTACTTTTCTTTTCGTGTCGTCTTTTCTAGCTTTACGCGCTATGAAAGAGGATAAAATGAGGATAGGAAGTGACCATTTTCTCTTTCCATTTGAACTTCTACTCATCTATCCCACAATCATATGGCGAGCGCAAAAAAAAAAAACGCCTGGTCTGTGCGGAAGGCGCAGCACAGTCACAGCGAAAGCTAGAAGAACGGCCTTTCAGAGCCTTTTTGAAACACTCATTGGGTAACTAGTGCAAGCACACTTGCTTGATACCCAATACGTCAATATTAATAAATTTATTTGGGTAGTAGGCCGGTATTCAATATGCTATTTTTCATCATTCTTCTGAGAAGCGTCATTTCCGCTAAACACTTGCAAAGTATTTTGTGCCAATTGTTCATGCAGTGGCTGACAAAGATGAGGAATAATGGTTGAATTGAGTATTCACCACAGTTAATAGAGGAACAAGAACACGCTTTTGTGATGGGTTGGGGCATTGGACGGCCCACTCGTTAGGCTATCCGCATTGTGCGACGGACTGGTTGTTCTTTCGCTGTCTTACAACGCTTTATAAGTCGTATTAACACGATTGCTTTCCCGACATCAAGCCTGCCAAAGGCAAGTTTGACAAGCCACAAGCACCGGTGAAACTCCGTGGTAGAATGCTGGGCTGGCACCCAGGGGACCCGGGTTGCAGCCCCACTGTGTCATTGGTGTTAGGTTTTCTCTAATTTTGCACGATGTGGTTACGGACACCGGCACCGCTGGTGTCCGTAACCACATCGTTATGTTATGGGATCGTAAGTTATGAGATCACAATCAGAGTTGTGATCTAATAACAAGATTTCGCTGTAAAACATTATTTCTAGCAAGCATTACTTCTCCCTAACAGCCCACCACGCATGCAGTGTGGTCTAAAATAAAGTTGATAAGAGCCAGTACACTGATACTGGCGCCGAGGCCTTCGATAATATATGAAGGGTCCATATAAGAATGAAGTGCCCTCATGTAAATCCTATTTAACCAAAATTAAGGCTCAGCCAGGAATGCTGTTTTATAAGACGTCTAAGAATATTGTCAAGTACCATGAAAATTTTTCGTAAACGCGTGTTCTCCGAAACCTTTTCATCCTGACGTTGACATATACCCTCGTCTTAGTCACCATTTCATACAAGTGATTTGCGCATACCGTATATGATATTCCAGTACCACCAAGTGGTACAAAACGCTTGCCCGATTTATGTTGATTGTTGTTGTGTGTAACCTTCCCTATAAAAACTGAGATATTACAGCTGCAAAATTGAAGTTATGAGCTGCGTAATGAAATATGGTATTACGCGTCTATGTACAATTTGCAGGCCTGTAGTTCTGCTGCTTCGCATTCAGCACAATATATATTTTTTTACCTCTGGATTGTTCTGCTATCACCATTGGAGCTCATGTATAATTATTTTTGACAGACTTGGCCCTACATGGCAGCTCTCGGTGTTCCCGAGGTCACCTAATTCATGATCAGCACTCGTAACTTCAGCCGCAATACCAGGGACCTCGTTACTGCCATTGATGAGATGATGAAATTCTTCGCCAGAACCCTTCAGTGCCTGTGAGCATTCCCACATTCGTCACATTATCGTGAATTTGCTGGTAAGGCAAGCATGACGTAGACGTTGATTGCTCTTATTGCGATATCAATCATATGGACATTCTCGGCGGGATTTCGCCGCTGGCGTCCACTGACATTTAGCGTATATGTATACATATCTATATATGAGTGCGTAGCTTTAGTCACTGAGCCAAGAAGAAGCAGTTTCTTCAACGCTTAAACGCAAGCTACTTATATCTACTACTTATTACTGGCGATGCTGATCTCGGTAGAAATATTGTGTTCTCTGCATTACCAGCGAGATGGCACAATGAGCGCGCTTCACCAAATCGTGTTGACGCGACGACGCGCGCTCATGCGCTGATCTCCCATGCGTACTTTGCCCCGCGGAGGAAGGCGGGGGTGGAGTGGGCGTTGATGCTCACGCGTGTACGTCCTTGTTCGTGGTGGGGACAACCGTGCGCCTTAGGCTCTCCCCGGAATGAGTCTGCTGTAGTTACCGGGCGCACAAAGGTCACTGCACTCGCTGCATAGTCTCCATTTTGTGTCCGTTTGCGAAATGAGTACGCTTTGTAGACTCAGCAAAGTAACAACTTAAACACTTATTCGCGTACATCTGTACTAGTGAGTACGTTTAGTGTGTCATTTGTGCATGAGCAATGCGGGGCACGTTCAGACCTGCTTGCCATTCTTCGCATGACATTCCAATACGTTGTTCTCGCATTCATTGCTCCGCCTTTGCGGCGAAAGCTGTGGCTTTTTAGTATAGAGAGATTTTTTTCTTTGCTAGAAGTGTAGTTTCCTCCGAAGATCAAGCTACTTTCTTTTTCTACGTATTTTGCAGTTCCTATAGTTTCTTTATTGCCCAGGTCTACATACTCAGTGTGGCCTTCGCATCGCAGTTTTTTATTTCTTTACTTGAATAATAATAACGTTGATGCTAATGCTAAACAGCCGTGACTGTTCTTAAGCATTTACTTTTTTAGGCACCCTGCGTTGTCACTATGAGTTGAACCATAGCCACGAAATAACAACTCACTGTATCAGATTGGGGTCTACATTTTGCATTTTGAAGATTTGTAGTTATTTGTTCTTTGAGTCCTGACGGATATCTTTAGAGATAACTGATGCATGAATTATGATGCATGAATTATGGCGTCTTTGAACTTTGAAATGACAATGTTAGGTCTCATTGAGTACAAACTAGGCACCTCATATCTCTTGCGGGGCTAAACTCTGTGACTGTGGTTCCCTAGGGGAGGTCACTCTGAGGCGCTTGCTTGAAACGTAACGTACAAAGAAAAATACGAAACTGAAGCGACAACTAACCTATTTTTTAATAATCAATTTCATTTCAAGAACTTTTGCGCCACTTACCTAAAAGTTTTGTATTTACCCTCTAACAGCCTGCTCAAGTGTACATATTTGCAGCAGCCTTTGTGACCTGCCCTTTGTCAAAATGTAAAACCATTCCAGCGGCTAATCTGTGAAGTGCCTGGATGCTTTTCTGAGTCAACATGTCTCTACAGTTATTTCCACTAAAGAAGCGAAATGCGAAGTTTAAGCTGTCTTGAGAATATGTTATAAACTCATCAAAATAACAGAGCGTGAACATTTGCAAAGCGTGGCATGTTTGCAGTTCCAAACATTCCTACACGTTGAGGACCAGAAGTATTCGTATCACCGGCATTTTGGCGTAAAAATCACGGAAGGCGTTAACGTATTGTTTAACTGCTTTTTTAGTGCAAAGTTTTTTGTGTAATACTCTTGAACACGAAGTTCTCTCGACCATGCTTCGAGGAGCTGTATGGGCGTACCGGCTAAGCAAATGGCCACGGCTCTTGGCGACAAATTAACACTGCGTCAGGATTCTTGATAGCTGAACACCTAAAAAAAGAAGCGCCGTTATCTCTAATAGCCACACGATGACGGTCAATGCACACCGTTGTTTTTAGAAAAGGACGTTTGAGAGCACTTCAGTGAAGTAGCGTGTGAGCGCAGTCACGTGGTTTTAATGCAAATTTCGCGGCCTTCCAGTAGGCTGCTTTCTGTAAGGCATCTGTGCACCACCATCTTGGGCCCTTAAGCCAATGCTTTTTTTCTTGTGTGTATTTCAACGTGCATTATTAAGGCCATAAGAGATAGCACAAGTTACATTTAAATAGGTTGCAAAATTTGGGGCGAAAAGTATGTCAGAAGCTAGGGCCAGTGACATCTAGTACTATTATTATTTTTTGGCGTTTAACGTCCCAAAACTACCATATTATTATGAGAGATGCTGTAGTGCAGGGCTCAGGGGATTTCGACCACCTGGGCTTCTTTCACGTGCACGTAAATTTAAGCACGAAAGCCTCAAGAATTGAAGAGCACGAGCCTCAAATAGACAGTGCCTGCTATTTTCCGCGTGATCGGTGAGTACATCTCCCAATTGTCTATCACGCTACAACTCGCATGCCTGCATTTGCATACGTAACAGTAATGTATTGGAGCAAGACAAAACATATCACGTGTACTGTACAGGACACTTTTTGTGATTAATATCAGACCAGGTGCTCCATGTTTACAGTGTAGTAAAAGTGAGTTGTTGTGACCATGAATATCGCTGACGTGTCACAATATTGGCGTAGCAAGACTTCTTCAGGGTGCTACAATAACTAGTTTTCATCAAACTTTGCGCCTTAGGCAAGAAAACGAAGTAACTTGTTTACGAGCTGTATACAGTCACGCCCGGTTTTCGTTGTTGTTGTTTTGCCGGAAGAGTCTCCTCCTCTTACAGATGGCTGCTAAGCCGCATAACAAGCTGATGAGCCGCCATTTTATGATCTAATGAGTACCTATGGAAGCTTCGCAACCAGTTACATTTGCCTAAAATTGTATGCAACAACCCAGTATAATACATACGTGTGCGTCTAGAGCAACACTTCTTTTTGTTGTTAAAGATCCAAAACATGAAAGTTATGAGCGTTATGTCGCGGCTCAAGTATAGAGAGATGTTAGGCGCATACATACGCATACATACAATAATCCGTAATGCCGGAAGAAAAGAATACGCAGCATGCACGTTGGCAGGAAAATAGAAATCACTGCCCGAGCACTCCGTACAAATGTTTCACCTAATGAAAGCTCCAACGTGCGACCCCGGTGCTCAACTGTGGGTTCAACCCGATGTGGGACTGAATCCTTTCGCAATCATTAGTTCCGTGTTCGTTCTCCTTTACGAGGTTGGAGACACGTTTGGCTTCGGTTTACTACAGCATTTATTTAACATGTAGCACGTTCCACCTAGCGTGATCGCGGTCACGGAGGAGTGAAATTAGCGGTGAAATGCGTTTCGCAATGCGTTAATCACAATGGTTGTTGATGAACGACACACGGTCACAGACGTCGCAGCTAAAACCAATGTGCCGCCGAAGAATGAAGGCGGATTTCACCCCGGTGAACGTGCTCCTGCAACAATCACATTGATGCCGCAACGCCGCATTGTTGAAAGCGTCTGACATCGTGAGCCAACTCGACGGGGAGGCTTCAGGAGGAACTATTGCGTGCGGGCTCAGCCCCATGGCTGCGACGTACGTCACTCACAACGCAGGCACTGGCGTGTGTGCTTGAGAACGACGCTGAGATTGGAGAAAGTGATACAGCAGTCAATGGAGACCAGTCATGACACCGCTGCTGAACGGAATTTGCTTTCCCAGCTTTCGCTGTAAAAACCGGATAAGTCGTTTTCCTGATTCCTCTACCCTGGATCAAAACGTACTTCGCCCTGAAGTAACCTATGAAAAATTATGGGCAAAATCTTCGTCATAGAAATCAACATAACAAAAAAGTGAAACCCGTCTTCATAGAAGTAGTGCTATAGGGGTACAGGAGAGCTTGTACAATTTTTATTGGTGTTTTTTCGCTATAGCGTCGTCTGATGTGGTCACATTCACGTTGACGCCTAGTGGCACGTCTCGGTAGTGACGACCACCATTCATAATTATGATTTAATCGATGTGGTAACTGAAATTTTTAACACATACCGAAACACAGCGTATCGTTAATCGTGCACAACGACGACAGCAACAAGCACACACTAAACACGCGATATCAGTTATTGCAAGTCGATCAAGTGACGAAACGCTCTGTTGCGATTCCGCCATCGGTTATTTCTTCAAGATACTTCCCTTGATATAACTCTTATCAGCTACGAATTCGTCAAGCTGCTTCTGGCGCAGAGCCATGAAACTGCTGAATACATCGACGTTTTCGCGTCGAAACAAGCGCCTAGTGGTATCACCACTGTCACCAAAAGTATTGTGTAGCCTCCTAATGTAGGTCCTACATTAATAACCCTGGGCCCCTTTCAGCTCTCCACCCTACGATCGAGCGGAGTCGCTTGTCTGTATACGCACTGCAATGAGAACGTTTCGGGCAATTGCCAAGAGGGCTGTGTATCGTCGTCGTACTTTACGTTCGCCAGTGTCATGTTGGTGTTGGTGTCGCTTGGCTTCGCGAATTTTTCTTCGTCTGAAACATTAGAAGTATTGCATACTGTGTGAATTCAGCGTTTTGAAGACGACGAAGTGAGCGATGGAATTGGAAGTGATAGCTGCAACCTTAAGAGGACCAGAAGAGAGTAGAGAGGGACGTATGTCAAGGAACAAACCGGGATTAAGGATATCATATTTGAAATAAAGAAGAAGTGGACAGGCTGGGCAGATAGCACGTAGGCAGGATGACTACTGGTGATTAAAGGTAACTGACTACCTTCTCAGAGAAGGCAAATGCACAAAGGAGAGAGAAAAAGTTGGGTGGCCTGATGAGATTAAAAAGTTCGCAGATGTGGAGTTTTGTTAGAAGGATTTCCTTCCTCTGGGCTGTTGCACGAGAGTACGAAAGCCAACGTCACAGCCTCGGCAGTGCATTTCTTTGGGGCTCACGCGTGCTAACAGCAGCCCAGAGAGGACTATTGCAGCGCCAAGAACGCCTTGAGCGAAAAAGTCTGTAATGTGGCAACG